ATCTTGATGAGAATGTGGCTGTTAATTCACTTTGTGGCATGACTGCTTTATTTCACAAGTGAAATATCTGGAGAGATGAGTATAGAAATACTGTCATTGCTTCTGTTTGGATGCTCTGCGAAGAAAGGTTTCAGACACTGTCACCACATCAGTTGGCACCTTTTACCATCGCTTTTGTGTTCTGGAGAACACAGAACTGTGGTAAAGGCTACCCCCCCAAGGAAAGACTACTTTAATTTATTTTAATTTAAATCATGATTGTAATGCTGATGAAAAATTCTGTTTAGAAAAGAAGTGGAGATTTAAATACCCATAAACAACAACTGTGCACGAGACTTAAAAACTCTCATTGTAGATTTTATATTGCTTCACTGGTTTTGTCGGTCATTGCAGTTACTATTAACTCCTCCAGTTTGATCTAGGAAAACACAAAATGTAGAAAATTTGTCATATCTTCCCTGTATGTAAATGATTCATAAAAACATAATGGTAATCAGCCTTTTAACACATTCACTTGAGATGGAGAAAGAAGATGCTTAAACTGCAGTAAAGTCTAGATATTAAGGAAGGCTTTTTGTCCAAAATTATAGTTATGTAATAGAACAGACACTTTATTAATAATCTCCTTCATTTGAGATTTTTAAGGGCAGATTAAATAAATATGTCAGGAATGAACTAGGTGTAGGAGATGAAACTAGATCATTTTGTGAGATCACTTCAGTCTATATTCTTCTAACTTTATAAAGTCAGTTTCTGGGACTGTTGCAGTAAAGACAAACTTTCCTCTCATAGAAGAGTACCTGGCAAACGGGTTCAGACCTCAGACTACTTCTGTAATGACTCCATAAGTCTGGTTTGCTTATCATCTTAGGACAACCAGAAATACTAGTTAACTCTCCAGAAAAATGAACCCTCCAACTCTGCTGCTTTTCTCGTTCCATCTGAGCAGACTTATAGATTTGTTTATATTTGCTCCTCATGTAATTTGATTTATTTTGAATAGGCCACTAAAACTCTCATGGTCTCTATATCTGCTTCTCTTTACTAGAAAATGTGCTGGATGCTTCTCTCTTAGCCTTCTATAATTCGTAAGAGAAAATGCTGCTTTGAGTCTGAACCTGTCCCATCCACCAGCAAAACTTTTCAAGACGATTGGAGGCACTTTGAGAAATAGTTACTCAGTAACGTACTTCAAAAAACTACAGGAACATGAAACCTCTAAATACTTCCTCCTGGCTTTTTTCACAGTATAGACAATTTTCTTTGTTAGAAGAAGTCAGGTTAGCCTGTGCATTGCTTCTTGGTTTTGAATGGCACAAGAAATTTTCATTTCTGTCAAAAAGAATCAGAGGAAAGGGAAACCCTGCTAGGAATCGTCGTCTTTCTTCTGTTCCATTAAAGCTGTTTTTACTACAGAAATGTGTATCATTTTGAAATAAATTAGAGAAAAGGTGAGTTCAAAGTCTCTGTGAGCCTAGAGAACAGATATGTTTAACACGATGATTTATCAGTTTCAGTTTCCAGCCACATCAAGAGAACAAAAAGCTGGCATTGCCCAAATGCCTGCACTTGGATTTACAGCTGTGTTGACAGGGATGCGGCCTTTGGCACCAGGATGGAGCAAAGTTTCAAATTGATGCTTTTTGAATCTGTGATACATTACTTAAATGTCTTGCCACCACAAACTGTACCACCACCCCCTGAAAAATAATTGACCTAAACGCCGTTCTGAGTTCCATGTCTGCTTATTTATATTTCCTCATCAGACTTTAATCGACCTGCACAATTCAGCTGGTGTTCAGCTCAATCCATTCAAACTGTCAAGAGAAATCTCTCTAGAGATCTTCTAGCTGTTTAAAGTATGAATTAATTTAATCCAGAATGACTTGTACTGGGGTGTTAATATTTCACCACCTTCCCGATAGCTGTGACAAGGATCTGATAATGTCACTTCTCCAAAGGAAATATGTGTGTTCTCTCCAGCATTTGTTTGTGTTTCTAGGAGTAGGTGATATGCTAGAAAATAAGTTTTGTCTGTCAAAAAAAAATTTTGTCCATCGAAGAGGAGACTTTTGTTTTCCATCAAGAAGTCCTGTCTGATACAAACATTAACTGAAGCCATGTGGAAAAGATGTGAAAAACTGCTCTTTTTTGCAGTCAGTGCCAAAGTCAAGACACAAGCAGATTTAGATGCAGCCATTTAATTCCTGTCCCTCATCCCTGACCCTTTGCAGGAGAGTGCTGTCTCCACGGCCTGAGAGGCAAAAGGAGATAGATTTGCTCTTCAGCCAGCCTTGTTCACAGCCTAAAACATAATTGCAAACTGATCTTCATAGACAGTGAAAATTCATATTTCAAGTTTTAAATACAGGCATGTCCTATTCTACTGCTGTACAGTGGTACAGGAAATTTCCGTCAAAGCAGATTGAGCAGCTGGGGTTTGTAACTTACTGAACCACAAAAGTTACACCTTCAGGCCTTAAGTGTTCAGGTCTCATTTTCAAGGATCGTGGTGCCTGGCTGGCAGGTGCCATCACACAGAGATGCTAGCACCAAGGCAGAAAATAAGAAATGACACATCCCCACTGTTTATTTTAAGCCTGATATTTCTGGGAAAAATTGAGAGGAGAGAACAGTCTTTTTGGATAAGAAAACATTGTCGCATCAGTTGGTTTCAAAGTCCAAAAGGACTCCAAATTCAGAGTACCTCTTGCTCTGTAGGCAGAAGATACCTTCCCTTCCAGGCTTTTTTCAGTGTGCAGTTAGTTCCCTCCCTGTGGTATCCTGGAGTTTAAGATACACTTTGATGGAGTATATGAAATTCCACTGAAACTTTTAATATCAGTATCTCTGGCTGTTCTTTCTCTTGATGATGTTGTTGTTCCTTGGCCAGGACCTTAGGAAAAGTTGACAGCAATTTTTTTTTGTCTTGTTCATACATAGAATTTCCTGTTTGGAAAGTTATTTCACTGTTTGAGTCTCTTCATGGACTTCTCACAGTCTCTAAAACTGTCTACATATAACAGTTAAATGCATCAAATTTCCCAGGAACTTAATGGTGATTGATAGAGGTGCATTCAGTCATAGTGGCACAAAGTATCTCTACAGACCTGTTTTTGTTGAGAGATAACACTTGAGACAGCCACAATGCATTCTTTACATACTATTCCTAAATTTCAATATTGAAATAAGCATCAGTTGCTTGATATTCACCTTCAGTCTTTAAATGCCTGAAATAGTAGAGAAAAGAGGTGAACACCTTTATTTTGTCCTGATTTGTTCTTGGTGACTTCACTGTTGTTTCCTAACACTTCCCTTGTTTCCAGTCCCTGATTTCTATTTTTTCACATCCCAAAATGTCATATAGTACCTAGTCCATCCTGAAGCAGGTCAAGCTGCAGAAATCAAGTTTTATTTTCAGATGGCCCAATTTCTTTTCATTAACTTGATTAGTCAAGCAAAAAACATCAAGACACATTGCATTTTTATGGATGGATAGAAATTCTCCCCAGATAGGAACGACAACATACACTAATCACATCTATTTTTGGTTGCCAGTAAGCAAACTGAAACTAAGGAGAAAGAAACCCTTAGGAGACTTCTCATAACTACAGGGTCCTTAGAAGTTATAAAATCATTAGATTTGACTGAAAAGTGGTGTGCTTGTCTCCACTAGAAAGAGTATAGGAAAATACAAAGTTAAACCATGGAATTTCCCACTTTCCTGTGGAAGATCTGTAGTGTAATTCTTGAGATCAGCTTCAAACCTTAAGATGTAGCCAGGTATAAAGGCCACAACTTTATAGGCAATATGCAGGTGCATATATTCAGGTGTGATTTTCTTCACAGTATTTCCAAATACGCATATATGCAGCATTCATTGCTTTAAAATTATTTGTCTTCAGGGGGATGAAGCGGGGCAGTTTTTCTGCTGTCATCCAACCCAAGTACATTCCTTTTCAGGAAAGAACTGTTAAATAAGACCAGTCCAGAACAGTGCTTCAATGCCAAAGTCTGCTTGCTTGTTTCCTGGAAAACACACAAGGATAAGGACCATTTGTTAAGCACTTGTTCTCATTCCTGTGTACTTGCCTATTGTTCCATTGTGCATATAGCACACAGCTTCCTAAGATGTACATTAAATGGTTGAATAATATTAAAGAGCTTTCATGTGTCTAGTTGAAAGATCTTTCTCCCCAAGAGTATTTATTTTGTAATCTATAGAATTCTTCATCTGATAGCTGTTTGTGTGTTTCTGTTTTGTCACTGTAATAAAATTCCTTTTCAGGATCGCATTGTATCAATGACACTTGATAAGGAATATGATGTAGCTGTGGAAGCCATTCGATTAGTCACGCTAATACTTCAGTGAGTATTTTTCAAAATCTGTATATTCCCTTTGAAAGTTACCTAAGCCAGGAATATTTAATTGACTTGATTTCTTTGCTTGTGTAAAGAAGTGAATCTGTTACTTTACACTTAGTATGAAGTTGAACTGAATATGTAATAATATGGTCATGAAGCTAAAATAAGATATTCCATGTTGTGGAAATACAACAGGCAAAGTATAAAAATTTATTGATGTATTGAGACTATTAGTGCATCCATTGTTGTGGAAGAATGCCAAAGGGCATTTATGCCTTTTGCCAAGGGCAAAATGATCGTCCTCCCCAAAACAAGTATCTGTGGGTTACATTTGCTAAAATAATTCGAGCAGTAGCTAAGCAAAGATCCAGTGTCAGGAGGTTTGATTACCTGACGCAGCTGAAAAGAGAGTCATCTGGTAAATAAGCTGACAGGGAAAAGATGCTAGCTTCAACATCCTTGTTTGGGTTATGTGGAGGTGGCAGCGGTAGCCTGCGATTTTGAACACTTGGCCGTGCAGGAGGAGACATGCTTCCAGGCCACCAGCTTTTTCTTACAGTGATGCAGTGGCTTCCCTGAGGCAAAGATCCAGTCCAAAGATCATCCCTCACGCTGACTGTTTGAACCAACCTGTCCACAGCAGCGTCATGAGTGAGCTGCTGGAGGAGCACTGCTAAGCTTTTATTGTATATTCATTTAAACATATGTTAAAGACAATCTGTTTTACAATCACATGCATAGAATTTCTGCATCATACTTTATACCCAGTGGCTCCACTTTGAAGAATGTTTTTGGACATGCAGAATTTGGATGAAAGATTAGACTAGCTTTTCCTCTTAGTAAAGAAATCTGGACTTTATTATTTTTTTATTTATGAGTCACTCTGCTTTACAGCTATTAGACTTGTAATATTAGGAAGAAAGGAAATCTCGTATTGTTACATTTTTAAAGCAAATATAACAAATATGATCACAAATGAGATGTAGAACACATCTATTCCCTACATTATTAGCAATCTTTGGGAACACAGTAAGATTTTTAGGTCAAAAATTGTCCAGTGCACCTTTTTTTTTTCCTGTCCTGTTTTCTCTTTGGTTGCATGATGTAAACATAGCTAAATGCACTTAGCACCAGAAGAATATGGGTTACATTGAACATCACAGGGCAATATTCTGGCAGGTAGGAACTCCAAAAAGATGTCATGAACAATCATGATGGGGAATGACCAATTAAAAATTATTTGTAGTATGAAGCCAAATGATGTTTAGAATCCTGATACATAAATGTTTCTGATGAATGCTGACTAAACAAGGAGGGAAATAATATTCCTGTATGCGACAGTGGTGATATTTTGATATCATTGATGGAATATAATTGTTCCATGGCTCATAGCATTTTTCAAGAATACTGCTGAAAAATTGAAGTTTTTCTGAGTTTCAGAAAACTCACACACAAAATCTGCCTTGAGCTCAGAAACTGCAGAAGCCCCGACTATGTCATTTACCCAAGACAAGGGTGAAAGGTGGCTTGTTCTTGTCAATAAATACCTATAGAAAATAAACTTTTCATCTTCTTTCATCCAGCACAGCAGGGTATGATCAGATTCAGTTCCTTGATGTTGAAAATGAAGTCTATATCTAGTCAGCACAATAACCACAGTAAAAGTGTGATGGGCAATTTATTGTATCAGCATTATAGTAATTCTAAATGTACACCATGATTCAATCCTAAAGTGATTATGTGTTGATTTGATTGGTGGATGCACAGTGCTAGTTCTGTGTCCCCGTTTTGTGGCGTAATCTGGTTTAGTTTTCTACTGCCTGTGTCTAGAGCATTTCTGTGCCTTCTCCCCTTGCAGAGGCAGTTTTATCCACCTGGCCTGGCCCTTTCAGCAGCTGGAATTGGGAACATTCCTTCTCACTTTCCAGGCCAGCAGAGAGGCACTTCCTGCCCTACAGCACAAAAGAGCACGTGGACTGTCACGTGAAAAGACTTAACTCCTGAGAATGGAGTAGGCCAGGAGGCTGAAGCGGGTTTTCCCAGTCCCAGATTTGAATACGTTAAAAATTAAAAGCTTTGAAAGCAAACAGACATTGCTATAGAAGTAAATAAGTTTAAGCAAGCAATTGTATTTTCCTCATGTAACATTCTAGGTTTTTAATTTAATAATGTTTGATAATCAGTGTTTGGCATCTTGCAATACGTGCATTGTAGTTACTGTGATGGTCTAAGTAATTAAGCAGGGCAAGATTTGTAAGTAGTGGTGACATTTTTTTCATAATTTTTTTGATAGATAGATAGATACAACTGGGAGATGACAATCAGACAAACTTTAAGTCTTACAGGCCCTTTAAATATCTCTGTATTTGGAAATTGAACCAAAGATCCTTGAAGTCAGTGTTCAACTGTTTAGGATTTTGTATGAAGGAAATCAATCTTGTAGCTGTCAAAAGTAAGTTACGGGAGGTGAGAGGATTGAAATTAAACATTTGTTTTAGTTCAGGTGTTACTTTCTGACTCTTTCAGTGGAAGCGAAGAAGCTCTGTCTAATGAAGACTGTGAGAATGTTTATCACTTGGTGTATTCAGCACACCGGCCTGTTGCAGTAGCAGCTGGAGAATTCCTTCACAAAAAGTAAGTTATCAGTTACCCTGGAATAAGACCAGGTTTGTGAATGCTTCCTAGTAGAGGTAAGATCAAAAGGCAAAGAAGCGATAGAGTGAAATATCCCAATTTAGCAAATCAGGTATTTAATTTAAAACACAGACTTATTCTCTTGTTTAAATTCAAGACCTAAAGACTTGAAGAAACTGGATTTACGTTTTCCTTGCTCTAGAATTCAGAAACTTTTCCTGACTCCTCAGGGGCTAAATCTGAAAGGCTGCATAAACCTCTCTGTATTAAATTTGTTTTAAATCCTGTGATAGTATATATAGGGCCTATACATCCCTGATGGTCTACCTGATATGCAGTCATTATTTTTACAAAGTTTTAAACCAGTTTATTTCAAAATTGGGAACTTGAGAGTTTTTTATGTAGTAATAATTAAGACATTTGTTCCTAAACTTACGGACTTCCCCTAAAAATACATTACACCGTGGTTACCTCTTTCATGTACCAACTACGCCAAAGGAAATGAGCTAGCTTTTCCATGGATGTGAATCATACTGCATCAGTAACTATGACCAGGACATTGCCACATCATAGTAGTTAACTGTTTCACCTTAGTGTTTGCAGTTAAAAGTCTTTTAGCAGTAGTTTTCTTTTTTCCCCTCATGGGTTGTGACATTAGAGTTCTTTAATATATCAGAATGAGGGTTATATAACTTTTCATGCCAAGATACACAACAGAAAAAAATAACGTAAAAACATCAGTTTTCCTTTGCCAATGTTCTAATTTTCTGTGGTTTATTAGTGATTTAAAAGTCCACACTGTAATTGTAAGCTCTTGTTGGTGGATTTTTGGAGTTCCATCTATGTGATCAGGCATTATCTTTTTCAAGGAGTTAATTTACAAAATTCAGTTACATTTAGTTTCCTACATGATGTTTTAGGAAATGGTTAGGTTCTTTTTAAAAATATATACTGAAATTCCTTTGTTAATCAACATGTGACAAAATAATTTTGAAAAATGCCTCAAAGGTAAATGAATTTGAAGACATATCTGCACTTCAGTGTACTTAGTGTAAAGACAAAACTTTATCCTAACTTTTCTTTACACGAGATACTATGCTGTGTTCTATAAATGTCTCTCAAGGTAAACAGCATTGAGAGAAGATTGTCCTGTTCCTAACACTCAATTTCTCTTGGTATCTGCTAACACATAAGAGCTGGTGCTCCATTTTAAATAAGTTACAATCTGCTTGAGGCGTTTGATGTGGGATTTATCTCACCTAATTTTATACATTTAAATATCACCTTCTATGTGTAAGCTAGTCATTAGAATTTCTCTCTGTAGTTAGCAAAGGAAAGCAACTAATAGAGAGGATCACTGACTCAACCCTGAGGTGGATGTTTTAAGATATTTCAGCACCTGCAGAGGTGCTTATTTCTTATCTGTTAAGATAGGCAGGGGGGGAAAGGTGATGTCTTTAACTAAAATATGTTTGCATGTAACTCATCCTTCTCTTTTCAGTGAATTACAGTAGTGAAATCAGAATACTGTGTTTCACATTTCTAATTTCTTTGTGACTGTGGTTTCAATGTAAAAGCAAGGAACAGTTTTCAAACTTCTCAAAGTAAAACAATCATTGCTGTAACTGTAATGTAGACACATCTGAGATCTCTTTAAGCTAGCAAATTTGAGCATCGAGAGTAGTTTGGAATTAGCCATGCATCAGGGAACTCAATGCAGAATGTATAATTTACCTGAAAAAAAAGGCCGAATAATTGACTGGCAGCTTGCTTTATCCTTTATGCTGCTACTGGCACCTGAGGTTGTTTTTTTAATGGGATGTCAAGTTTGTTTATACCAGATCCCAGTCAGCATGACCACAGTGGAGATACAACCTTAGTTCTTAAGACACTAGTAGAATAAGTGCTACCACCATTGTAAGACTTGATATGTTAAAAATGCAAAACTATACAATTTATGCAAATATGTAAAACTGTGCAAAATCTTTCGATATAAATATGTTTTGGAGAGCTTTTTCCTGTGTGAAATTCTTCCAGCCCTGTGAACTTGAAGACTCTGAAGATAAATTCATCTCTTCAGACAGGCAGAGGTCTTTCCCTTGAAAGAAATAGCTTGAGATACTTTCAGTATGTTTTATGAACAAATCTACTATATCAAGAATGAATGCTCATCACATTATTGCAGAAGTCAGATTTGTTTTGATAAACATGATAGCTTCTTTTGCTTATTTTTAGACTGTTCAGCAGACATGATCCCCAAGCTGAAGAGGCTCTAGCAAAGAGGAGGGGGCGAAATAGTCCAAATGGAAACCTTATTAGAATGTTGGTTCTTTTCTTTCTTGAAAGTGAGGTAAAAAATTCATTTTTAATCTTTACATGTTTAATAAAACCTGGAACTTAAGTAGTGATTTATCAACATACAGTAACACAAGTTGTCTTTCTTTTCTTTGTTTTCATAACTTCAGAAATACTGTATGCCTTTTACCCTGCCCCCCATTTCCTTGTCCATCAAGCAAATTCAACTCAATCTTCTTCATGGTTTATTTTGCTCTTGCATGTCCCCACTGTACTCAGTACTGCATTGCTGGTAGTATGGTGGGTACCAGGATTCATTTCTACACAGAAACGTAACTGGTTCTTTTTTTAAGATAACCATGTAAGGAGTATACCCCTGGAAGTTAGTCTTTATGGAGTAAAATCCTGTGAACCAGAAAGGAACAAAAACTACATAATATCTCAAATTATGATTAGAATCATAGAATAATTCAGAGTGGAAAGGACCTGAGGGTTATTAGCTCAAAGTATAGTCAGCTGTGAGATTAGATGAGGTTGTTCAGGGCTTTATGAAGTTGCATCTTGAAAACATCGGAGGATGGAGACTGCAAGCATACATACGATGACATTAAGTGTTTGATGAATACATTCAAGATGAGAAGTGCCTGTAGTTTATGTCTATAGAGATAGCATATATGGGAAATTTTATGGTAGGCATACTAATAGTAATTTAGGTGGGGAATGGCAATGGAGTGGAGGAAAACTTGAGAAGATAAACTATCAGGTACAGGATGCTCTGAAGATAGAGGGAGAAAGGTTTAAAAATGATACATTTGATTAGGTAATAAATAGGTGGCAAAGGAAGACTGAAAGAAAGGAATGACAGAAATGTTTCTCTACAGAAGGGAGGGTAATATATTTTGTGTAAAAAGCGAAAGGAAAGGTATTGCAATTGGGTATTTTAATTGTTAGGAAGCCTTGAACAAGAGACTTGACTGTGAGGATGAAAAGAAACACAATCAGAGATGCTGAGAAGAAAGGATAACATTTAGGTACAGTGTTAATGTTAACATTTTTTAGAAACACCTTATAAACCTACAAGTTAAATCTGGATGAAATGTCACTGCCTGTGTGAGCCTTCAATCTGCTATCTGAATGTATTTGTATTTCCAGCTTCTTAAAAACTTAGATTGTAATAGGTCATTGTATTTTCTGGTGAAAATACCTTAAATCTGAGCGCATGTGATTGGGAGTTACCTAGCGTTAAGCTTGTCTATCCTTCTGAGGAGAAAAGAAACTCAGCTTTGCTCCCAAAGCTATGATCAGCAAAGTGCCTTCCCATGCAAGCCATATGCTGCTCCCCAAGATCGCTTCTCTCTCAGGGCCAGTTTTTGCTATTGCTGTTTTTGAGAGAGTTGCTAGAAACAAAGTAGAATATTATGACTCCCGTTTTAATAAAGAATTAGAGAATTGGGAGTTTCCATCTGCATAGAACTAGAAGATGTAAGCACTGCAGTCTGAGAGGGGGCGTTCAGAAGAGGGAACAGGTAAACTTGTGACAAGCATCAGTAAGCTCTGACACACATAACATTTTGCCCAAAGCTGTCAGAAACAGAAGAGTAGGTAAAGGTACTGACACCGCCTTCCTTACGCTCTTAGATGTTTTCCAGTTAAGGAATTAGTCCCATGTCTGGCAAGCAAATCAGAACTGCGTATTGCGCTTATTACTTTTTGATAGTGGTTAAAGATCAGTTTATAAACCAGTAGAAGCCTATGGATTATTTTTCTCACTTTACAACAGTTGTGTTAATTCACATAAAAACATTTTTTGCAGTTAAAGTTAGTGTTAATTCTGTACCCCCTGAAATCAGTAAGATTTCTGCTACTGTTTTCTGAGCATGTATGAAAAATAAATGCTTGTTCGAAACAAATATATTACAACTCTCTCTTAGTCTCATGTCTCATCATCTCTCCTTTTTATAATGCAGTAAGAAAGTGAGGAAAGGTAAGTTTACGGCTTCTAGGTCAAAATTCTGAGATCCCAGATCCCCCCCCCCCCCCCCCCGAAACAAGCTGCTTTATGGAAAAGAAGCTCAATTTGTTTTTATTCCATTTTCCATTAAAACATATCCCCATTGTAATGCAGTTGTACCATTCAGTTTGAAGAAGACCTTCCAGAGTTAGTTTCAAGCTGAATTTTCTTTCCAACTAATGTAAGAGTACATGCCCAGGACACTCTCTGTGGCCAAATGATAGTGAAAGTTGACGAACTGCTGCTTGTACCAGAACGCTGTACTGATGGTTGCTTTGGATTTTCTAGTTGCATGAACATGCAGCCTATTTGGTGGACAGTTTGTGGGAGAGCTCTCAAGAACTATTGAAAGACTGGGAATGTATGACAGAATTGCTCTTGGAGGAACCAGTCCAAGGAGAAGAAGGTAGTTGTTTAACCTCTATACTTTATTGATATTGCACAATATTGTTAATTATTCCTTAAAAAGATGTTTCACTGTGGGTGATAGAGGTATTTATGTTGTGGTTTGTTTAGAAAGCATATTTGAAGAAGATTTTAGTTTAATCCATTTTTAATGCACTTTGCTTCAGAAGCAGCATTTTTGTACTCTGTTTTTCATCTTGTGAAGTCTGTTGTACTGTGATTCCCTAATATTAAAGGCTAGGACTACTTCTTGTCTGCATGTTTAAATAACTAGTATATACATGAACATTTCAATAAATTAAATAGCTAATACAATTTTGAATAAACAAGCCCTTCAAGTGGTGTTAATTAAATATGGGGCTTTTCCAGACAATGTTAAAACCTAATGAATTCTCAAGAGGAAAAAAATAAGGGGATTCTTTTGCCATTAGTTTCAAATCTCCTTTGGCTAATAATAGATCTGTGTGCACAAGGTAGCCAGGGAGGTTGGTGGCAAAGATTCCCTAATGGTAATGAGTGTCATTCAAGATTCTTTATAATCCTTCAGGATTATCCTGCTTCAGGGACCTTCGCAGGGGTTAGGTGGTTGAAAAACTGATGTACTCTTACTGCTTCCTAGCATGATGTGCTGATCATCTCCATGTTTAAAAATCTGACCTTTTGGTATCCACCTGCTACAATTGTGGTATTTATATGGTAATTTCCTTAGGAAATTAGGCACTTTGGTTCTTTGTTTCTGTGTAGCCTAGTGGGGTTTGATCCTCTAGATGTGACCCGAACTACTTCCCAAAGAATAGAAATAATACTTCATGACGGTGAGAATATTTTATAAGGAAGTGACAGTGAACAGTCAGTCACTTTCTGTCCTCCATGACACTCTTTATTTTGTAGATCTTGGTTATATTCCCCTTCATTCATCCTTTTTCCAGGCTATGTTTCTCTGGACTTCTTTCAGTTCTGCCATATCCATTTTGAGATTATATGAATGGTAATTCAAAGAGCAAGCAAGAAAGCCTTGGTTTTATAAATGGGACAAAATGACATTATCTCTGTTGTTCTCTGTTCCCTGTGTTTTACAACTGCATTCACAGATTTGTCTTCTTTAAGATGTCTTGCACACACATCAGAACTGATGTTACTTGTTCTTTTCCCTCCATAGCAATGTCTGACCGGCAGGAGAGTGCTCTTATTGAGTTGATGGTGTGTACAATCAGACAAGCTGCTGAAGCACATCCTCCAGTAGGCAGAGGCACTGGCAAGAGAGTAAGTGGTACTGCAATAGGTAGCTCAGACCTGTGTGTGTTACTATAGTAACATAAAATATTTGTCTACAATGCAAATTTTGACACTTTTAAATTAGATTTTTATAATTGGTGTTTCCTGTTTCATGTGAACATTTTTGAAGAAAAATAGTGGAAATTCTATTTCTGGACATGTTTGGTTTTTTGTTTGTTTGTTTCATTTTGGGTTTTGCTTTGCCAAGTTAGGTAATATAAATTTACAGCATGAAAATCTTTTTTTAATTTTTTTTTTAGATGTTCTTTTCATCATACCCCTGGCTTACACTTGTAATGTACCCACGTCTACAGCTCTTAATATTAAGTCTAGATTAGAATTGAAAGTGTAGAGCTCGGGAGCAGAACAAGATTACCTCTGACTATCTTCCATAAAAAGGAACGTGCTGCTAATATGGACGTTAAATTTGCAGAAAAAAACAACTGTATATTCATCCTGAGAGTAGTTAAGCACTGGAACAGAAGCTGAGAGTTTGTACAGTTTCCATGCTTGGCAGTTTTCAAGACCTGACTGGACAAAGCCCTGAGCACCCCGATCTGAGCCCTGAGCTGACTCTGCTTTGAGCAGGAGGGGTGGGACTGGGACCAACCTGAATGCATCTGTGGTTTTATGTATCCATCCTCTTTGGCCTCTTCCACTGAGTGCCCTAAAAATTTAAGAATTTGACATTCTGGCTGTATTGCAATCTAGCTGCCTCTTTCATTTATTTTGTAGTAATTGTTTGGGGATCAGTGGAATTCCATGCCTAAGGCTGGACATGCACTTCTAAGCATTTCAGTATAAGTTACACGGTCAGGGTAATCAACAGGCTTTCAACTGTATTCTCCATAAATACAGCATCCACATTTCAAAAGTCTCTCAGCTTCCCAAACGTATTTCCTTGATTTTTGGTAGTCCCCCTCTTATTTAGGTTACACTAAAATGAAATAAACCCATGTGAACATTTGGTGCTTCTGTTAGGTTCTGTTCTGAATAATCATAACTAGTTTATTAAAGAAAGCCACAGACTTAGTGAAGGTGAAATCTGGAGATAGACTTAGCATTCTTTATTGCTAAACTAAATGCAGTTACTTTAGCTTCTTAATTTTTATGTGCCAAAAGCAGATTAGCCTCATGTCCAGAAACAGCATCCCAGGAAAAGCTCCAAGAAACCATCAATTTAAACATGTTTTATGTACCTTAATTTATAAAGCATATTCTAAGAAATTCCTAATTCATTAAAATATTTCAGGGGTGAGGGGGGCTATGAAAGTGCTTACTCAAATTTACACGAGCATGTATTACCCTGTGTTACCAAAACTGTATTGTAAGCACATCTTAGCTGTGTTTTGTCTCTAGCTGCAAACCGTTCTAGCAGACAAAGCAACCTTTAAATTTAACAAAAATTTCATGTTTGTATTTTCTGTTTGGAGCACCAAATAATGTCACTATTAGCTTTCCGGGTATTTTTTCTATCTCAAGAGGTCTACAGTTCAGTTCACTTAAGTTCAGCAAGTTGCTTAGTCTTAGATTTTTTCAATGTCTGTATTTCTTCAAAGCTAAAGAAAACACTTCAATAAAATAAATTTCACCTTCTGAAGGATGATCAAGAGAGCCTCAAGATCATCCTAGGGACCTAGATTAATAGCACCACTGAACAGCAATATTTGGTCACCAGAATATGACTGGGTTGTTAGGGGGTGGCAGCCTGACTTGCTAGCTGTATTTGTGTTGCCTTCTGATGAGCTAGCGGCTTTTGCTGGCACGGTGCTGCACTGCAAGTTGGTACAGGAATTGCGGTTGCTGCTGTATGTATCCAGCTGTCTGCCATGTACTATGGAAGTGGTTTCTTACCCTGGTTACAAATCTGTTCCCCATCACTTCCATGGTTGTTTTGGATTCCTGTTGACACAATAGGTTACCTGTCATCCAAGCACATGTTTTGTTTCCAGCTGTTCCTCCTCACTTACAGAGAGATGTAGGTATGACATTTAGCTTTTGCTTCTTTTCAGTTAGATCATGAGTTGTGGGATGGTAACTGCAGGGATCTCTGACTTGTCAGTAGAGGTTTGTCATGTTCTCACGATCTCGCTAGCATATTCTCTGAGTTGAAATGGGAGCAGATTTCTAATTATGCACTCACCTTCTTGTGAAATAGTTTCTTCTCTGACTTTAGCTTGTAACCCTTCTTGTGCAGTCTGGCAGCTTTGCTATACATAAATCATTAGGTAACTTGAGTATTTTATTATCATTATTTGTTTTCAAAAGTACTCTCTCCTTTTCTGAAGGCAAGAAGCCAGATCTAAGCTTTTATGAAGCATGCTGTTTTGATTATTGTCTCTCTATTCACTGTTTCAAGGTGGTTTTGCTATGACAGCATTAGTAGCTTCAGTATGTCACTGAAATTTGTAAATGAGTTCTGTGAACTTGGATGTATGTTCTCACTGAGAATTGCATTCCAGTTTAGAGATGAGGCCATAAATCTGCTAATGAAAATCACTGTTACAGTGTGGTTTGGTTTTGGTTTTCTTAATTATACTTCAGTTCGCCCTGAGGTCTTACATTAACACTTTGTTTAATGTGTGAAAGCCAGAGCTCAATTCACTTGGAAGCAATAGCAAAACTTCCACTGACTTGGGTTATATTTGAATTTCAATCCTAAAAAAATGTTGATGTGTCGAGACAATATCATGCTGGATGATATGATATTTTCCGTTTCGATCACGGCTTCTTAGGACACATGGTCCTCCCATTTAATCACTTTTCAGTCCAAGTATGTTTGAGTATTTTATTCCCTCCTCTTTTGATTTATTAAAAATACACTTGCATGGATTTTTGTTTGTAATACAAACTTTAGAAAAATTAATGAATGCTATATGCAGAAATTGTATTTACTTTAGTTATTTTTGATCACTTGCAGGTCTTGACAGCGAAAGAAAGAAAAACTCAGATAGATGACAGAAATAAATTGACTGAGCATTTCATTATTGCACTTCCTATGTTGCTATCAAAGGTACATTTTTCAACAAAATAAATCTCTCGCTGGTATTTACAACTGTCTTTAAACTTTTTCATTCTGTAGTGTAGGTGTTTATTTTTAATTCACTATTTTTTTGTTTTGTTTCAATGATGTTTTAGTATTCTGCTGATGCCGAGAAGGTTGCAAATCTCCTGCAAATCCCTCAGTATTTTGATCTGGAAATCTATAGCACGGGCAGAATGGAAAAGGTATAGTACATTGGGCAAGAAGTCTGATTGCTTTCAAGTACCTAATTACTATTCTAGTCACACAGTGCCTTCATTCAGCATATTAGTAATATAACCTTGATTTGGTGTATTCTTCAAATGACTTCTTTGAGTTTCGTTGTTCAGGTAAGGTGAAAGCTGAACTTCTTTTCTGATCTACAGCATCTGGATGCCTTACTGAAACAGATTAAGTTTGTTGTGGAAAAGCATGTGGAATCAGATGTTCTCGAAGCCTGCAGCAAAACCTACAGCATACTCTGTAGTGAAGAATATACAATCCAGAACAGAGTTGACATAGCCCACAGTCAACTTATTGATGAATTTGTGGATCGATTCAACCATTCTGTAGAGGATCTGCTGCAGGAGGTTTGTTTTCTTAAAATGAATTTATTTAGACTACCTAAAATACGCTATGATAAACTGCAGAAAAACATTCTTACCAAGTCATGAAATTACCTATCTGAAGACGTAGCGCAGCAGCAACTATTTCATAATTATTTGGAGCTATTTCTCCGTGTAGAAAATCCCTTGAACTAGCCATTAAGTCTGCAAAGCATTGATGCTGTAAAACAAAGACCACGGGACAATCCTGCTTCTGAAAATTTAGTCTAGTATTTAAACAGTCCACGTAAGAAATTAAATGGATGAATGGGTGAAAGCTGATGAAAAATGCTGAGAATGGTGCATTTACATTAATGCTTGTGGTGATTGCAGTAGTCCCAAATGGATAGGCAGGCAGCAGAATCAAGGTTGGATTATGTCTTGAATGGAAGAGAGGATTTAGTAAAATAATTATAATGGCATATTGAAAGAGCTCTGGAAAGAATGAAATAAAGATACAGGTCTGAAACCTGAAGGTACCTGGGATTTACTTATAAGAATTTATCCTTCAAAATGCGTAAGACAGAATACATTCAATAAGAATAGAAACCTTACTCAATTTTCTTGCTTTACATCAATTTAACTTTGTGTAGCACCACTTAATTTGTTGTAATTCTTATGCTTTTTAAACATAATTTAAGGGCTGCATAGAATTTTTTCTTCACTTCTAGCCATGCACTGCGCTGTGGCAGATACATTTAATTTTTTATGTACATTTATAGAAAGTTAAGCTAAAGTCTCTATTTTAGAATTGCATATTAAAGAAAATAAGCTTTTTTCTATCTTTAAGTAGTATGCCGCATACAGGCATACTGTATATATGCCTTGTCACATCGCAGAGTAAATAAAAATTTGTCTGTTGCTGTAGGAATGTACATGAGTAAAAAAGGCAGTGCATGCAGGAAACAGGCACTCCACAACCCAGAGGAGTTAGTGCACCACTGTACGTCCTTTGATAGAATACATTTACTTTGCTGTCTACCTGTCTGCCATTTTATATGTGCTTTCTCAGAAACTTTTGAGCAGAACCTGAAAAGACATTCCAGAATTTGTGCTACATCTCTGCCCATCTGTGTGTGGCAAGGGAATCCTTTCAGCTAATGCCGCATTACATGTCTTAGCCATCTGTTTTAATAGCCATGGATTTTTGAAGATCCTCACCTCTGGCTAACAGGACCAAAAACTCTGAGACAGAAACCTTGGGGAATCTGTTGCTGACTTGGGTAGCAAAAAGGGCAAGGGCTAAAGTTGGACTGCCAGCACAAAAGTCCAGCTTCAGAACCAGCTGAGTTCTCCACACCAGATGCCCAGCAACTGATCACCATAAATAGTGGCCTTCACTGTTTCCATTGGTACCCACTGACAGAGGTTTAGGAACTCTGGTGAGGTACTGTCGTGGTTTAACTTCAGTCGGCAACTAAGCACCACGCAGCCGCTCGCTCACTCCCCCCCACCCGGTGGGATGGGGGAGAGAATTGGAAGAGCACAAGTTAGAAAAACTCGTGGGTTGAGATAAAAACAGTTTAATAATTGAAATAAAATGATAATAATAATAATATGATAATAATAATAATAATACACAAAGCAAGTGATGCACAGTACAATTGCTCACCACCCGCCGACCGATGCCCAGCCAGTCCCCGAGCAGCGGCCCCCCCGGCCAGCTTTCCCCAGTTTATGTACTGAGCATGACGTCACATGGTATGGAATGTCCCTTTGGCCAGTTTGGCTGTGCCCCCTCCCAGCTTCTTGTGCACCTCCAGCCTTCTCAGTCGGTAGAGCATTGTAAGCATTACCTAGCAACAACTAAAACACCGGTGCGTTATCAACTTTGTTCTCATCCTAAATCCAAAACACAGCACTGTACCAGCTACTAGAAAAGAAATTAACTCTATCCCTGCTGAAACCAGGACAGGTCCTCACATTTTTCACTATCCACACATCCAACACCAAGGTTCAGTCTGGCTCTATATGCAGGGACAAATCTCCTATGTTGTTTCTCCAAACCTGGCTCTTGGAGAATCTTCAGTTTATGTCTCCACAGCCAAGCTCAGATCAGCAAAAAGCATCTCATTCACACTGTCTTGCCTCGAGATGGAAGAAAGTGCCTATGGGTTTTTTCAAGAATCACACCAAGAAGCAAGTGGAATCCCAGTTCTTTGACACTGACTTGCCATTTCTGTTACACTGTCTTGTCGTAAGTCATTATGAAAATGTCTCCTTTCAGCTTTTTCTTATAGTTTTATCTTGGAACTTCTCCAAAGCGAATGCCATGTTTGTTCTCTCTGGAGACAGTTGTGTAACAGCCAGTGTAACAAACAGAAATTAGGTCTGTCTGAGGACATGCAACTTTTTTGGAAGAGCCCCCTTGAAGTTTCCACACTGTTCAGTTGTATAGATGTTATTAATCCGTGGATCCATTCAGGGATTCAGAGGTGGCATTCTGTTCCCTGGATAGTTTCACCCAAGAAAAGATCCACTCACCATTTTATTAGTATTGCTGAGACACCCACAGATAATTTTTTCAACCATGATCCCAAACTCAGTTAGCAAATACAGGAACACTGAGATTCCTCCTGCTGTACAGCAGCTGCTCTTTCTCTGACTTACCCATTCTCTTCCACACAGCAGCTCTGAAGAGGAGTCGAGACAAGAACCAGTCCTCTAGTTCTGTCAGCTCCTTTTCTGTCATCCACATACGGAAGCCAGCAGTGCAGTTAGTGTTGAGTTTGGTTTACTATAGCATCAGTCCTCTTGTTCTTGGATTCTCTGATCTGAGGAGATCCAGTGCTGTCCTTCCCTTTGCTACCTCGCAGTCCCTAGCTGTATATTTTCAGAAGCCCTTCTTAGGGAGTCCTCTTCCACAGTCAGTGTGGTCTCTGGGCCTCAAAGAACCACATTCCAATACTGCAAGCAGTAAAGATGAAAGGAGATTGGAAATCTACCTCTCTTCTACCCCCAGCCCACATTTCAGATCAGTTATGCCAGCAAAGCATTTAGGTCCAGCTGTTTTAGACTAGGGATACATGAATGTTGAGAGAGTTCAGAAAACACACTCCATATTTTAGGTACACTGTACGGGTCTGCAGGCCTGTCCTCTGCCTTTCTGACACTGCTTGAAAGATCCCTCCTGCCTCACCTTTTGCCCAAAGGGAATCAGGTGAGAGCAATGAGATTCTGGGATTCATAAATGACTTCCCACCAGTCTTCTCAGGAGGAATGAACTAGGAGAGAAGAACATTTTCCTGCAATTTTCCTTTGTTACTAACTGCTGTTGAATCAGGAAGCTAGTAACTGCTTCTTCCCACGCAATTTCCCTTCACTCCTAGTTGCAGGCGGCTTCTCTTTATGCAGCACTCCAGTGCGAAAAGCCCTGAAGGATGCACTGATACTACTGGGCAGAGAACAAAGACTGAGCTCATGAAGGAACATGGGCCAGTGATACCAAAACACTTCTGATGTATCCCCTTCCTTTACCCAGCTTGGGAAGGAGTAGAGAAATGCAAGCAAGGGCTTATGATCTTTGTGTGTATTTGCTTGCGTGAGAGGGGGATGAGGACTGAGGATTTCGGATAAAAGCTGTGTCTGAAAGTCTCATGAGAAATGAAGAATTAAAAGTTTTAGATCCCTAAGGAAAAGGGAGCGTGGAGGTCAGACTTGTGACGTAGAGAAAGATGTGGAGACAAAACCAAGACAAAAGTAGGAGAAAGGAAGAAAGAGAACAGCGGTAGCAAGGATTTAAAATTTTGGCCTTTGTGATATTCTTTGCTGGGTGATACTTGGTAGAATAATTAATTTTAATAAGTCTATTTCATCATTTTAGAGTAAATTAAAAAATGTGTGTACTTGTACCCAAGCAAGTATCCCACTGCTTTATGGCTTCCCACTAGGTTGATAATGAGAGAAACATTGATTGACAATGTTTCCTGCATCTGAAGGCAGGAAAATGTCTTAATTGTTAGGCTTTTAGATGGAAAAAAAATGATCAAAACGAAATGGAGAAGAATTGTTGTAAGTGGGTTTCCTGTTTCAGAAAGTTGCTGGAAAAATTAAGTTTTGGAAGTACCTTCCACTTGTTTCGCTAAGAGAATTTGCTGTTCAGTTTGCATAAAATATTAGGATAATGATATTTTAAAATGCCAGAAAGAAAGACTTAAATTTAAATGAAAAGTTTTGATTGAATTGTGCGATATTTATTCTCGGACTGTTGTTTCCCCAGATTTGTAAAATCTAAATTTTAAAAAAAAAAAAACAAAACAACCAACCACAAAAAAAAACCCTTCCATCCAGTTCGGAATGTATGTCAGTCTGTACACACAATGTGATTGTCGTGCATCACGGTGTTTAACACAGTGAACAGCAATGAAGGATATGAAAAGAAAGAAACTTTCCCACTGATCATTTTAAAAAACTTGCTGTTGACATCTGCAGGTTTCTGGCGTGGAGCAAGGCAAGCATTTGGCTTCACAAAAAAAACCCCTTCCATCCAGTTCGGAATGTATGTCAGTCTGTACACATAATGTGATTGTCGTGCATCACGGTGTTTAACACAGTGAACAGCAATGAAGGATATGAAAAGAAAGAAACTTTCCCACTGATCATTTTAAAAAACTTGCTGTTGACATCTGCAGGTTTCTGGCGTGGAGCAAGGCAAGCATTTGGCTTTATTCTTGTAGCACGTTCATCAGCTGATGGTTAAACTGCAGTTCAGTCCTTTTTGTAAAATAAAGTAGAACTCGGATTTTATTCTTGGGAATGATTTCTACTGCTAGAGGATACTGGTTTGAGTATTAACACAGTGATACTGCTGAATATTGTCAGATGATCTTGCTTATTTCCAGTTATTTAGATAACCAGTGCTATGCAGTGGTTATCTAAATATTATTATTATGGAATCTAGATAAAAGTAATTGGAAAATTTGGAGTCAGTTTTGGTGTCAACATAAACCCTCAAAGAAATCTGCTCCTCCCCATGCAGTAATGTACTCTGCTGGATTGCTGAACTCTTAATGGATTTCCTTTCATTTTCAGGGAGAAGAAGCTGATGATGATGACATATACAATGTGCTCTCCACATTAAAGAGGTTAACCTCTTTTCACAAGTAGGTGATTTTTTTCCCCTCAGAAATTTACTATGTTAATTTTATCATTTCAGCGAGTATCAGTTGACGTCTAGTGTTAAGAAATGAGAAAATATATGGCCTGAAATATGAAATAGATTGATGAATGATTAGTGGTATTTGTAAGTATAACTGTTTGGATTAATCTGGGTCCTTGCTTAGTTAATGCCATTACTTTTACAGATGTGATTTGCAAGTGGCATACCATCCCTTCCACTAAATGCTTTTACACCTATGAGTGTCTTACTAAAAGTCATAGTCCCCTACATGCCAGACAGTCAATGCACAAGGGAAACTTCTCACTTGATCTGTGAATTTTGGAGCATCGCACAAATCTTCCCCTCCTATCAACTGTAGGAAGTAATCGCTCCTGGTCAGTGTGTAAGAAAGCTTCATATGCAGATGGCTGAGAGCCACAAATCATTTCTTCCGTATCACAAGACGTGAGAGTACCTTGCTTCTGCCACCTCTTTTATACAAATTGTTTTTAGTGATTTCATTTCTCTTTTCTTTCTGTGCTTTGTCTTCACTTAACCTGAATTCTGCATTGGATCATTGTATGAAATGGTTCTGCAATATCTACTCTTTGTTTCCATTCAACAAGAGTCCCACAGAGATCATTAAATCGTTACTAATTTATGTAGTGCAGCAGGCTGACACATGTGCAAATTAGGCTTTCGGTCTCCCTGGTAACACGCTGGAGCCAATTCTGCCTTTCCTGAGAGGACTGGTGAAAGCTATAGTTCACATCCAAGAAAGAAGCACAAATCTTAAGGCTTTTCTGAGAGTCTCCCATATATATTTTTTCCTTTAGGGTTCCAAATCTCTAGAGAGTTAATTCAGACTATAAAGAAAGCTTTGTAGACTAACACACAAATCGGGGTCGGGGACATCTACCTTCACCTTCAAAAAACAGGAAAAAGAAAAGAATCAAAGCTAAAGAGCTGAAGAGAGACTGTCTATCATTACTCAGCTGATTTGTTATTTATTATTACATTTCAATGGGAATTTCTAATTAATATCTGCTTGCATATAAAGAAGTAATGAAAACTTTTCATTACTCTACTGAATGTTACATCTGATGTGATTTCTTTATGAAAGGAAACAATCACACCATCCGAGACAGAATTTTTGCCAAACCTTTAGCTGTGAGATTAGGATCTTCAATTCAAAACTCGCATTGAGCGTTCTCATCTCAAAGAATGGTGGCTGTTGTCTGATACTGTCATTTTCTGTCATCAATTGGGAGCCAAAAGAAATTAAATCAATAGAAGAAGTTGAAATTGCAGGCTAACAACTGATACCTTTCAGATCCTCTAAAAGTGCACTGATAAAGTAGTTGCTGAGGCTTCAAAAAGAAACAAATCCCTCTCTTCTTCCAGTGAGAGAAACTCTACTGTACCTTATCTGTGCTTGTGTTTCCTTGGTAGTTGCTGCTTCTTCATATTTTAGGAAAAAGAAGCCCAGCAAGGTGGAAAAAAACATGGTAGGGGATTATCAGAAAAGCCTTCCAGACCAAAAAGCTTCTATACTGAGATTTCCCAAGCCTGAGCTAATCCTCTTTCTGAGAGGGTCGTGGCAAGAAAGCACTCACAGCACACTTTTTAATTCATGTCTTTTCATCAAACAAGGATATCATTCATTATTACAATGTTTCCTTCCAAGTTTTCAGAATATAATGATAAATTTTCTTAAGGTCTTGAACACCTGGAGTATATACTTGGGCTTCTCTTTTTGCCAGGGTCTCACTGATATTTATGGCATTTTTTTCTGGCCTTAAGTATATGGAGACAATTTTTCTATACTGACTCCAGCCCAATTCAGCTGAGCTTTCACAGCTGTAGCGGTTTGTATACTGCAAAATATCAGCATTTCCTATTTAGTTACTTCAGTTAGTTCAGTGCAAGACGTGTGAATCTCAAGCATCATCTCCATTACTCTGGATGTGCTCTTTTGATGCTGTGTTGTGTATAGAGCATTGTTTCACATTTAGAAATCAGGACTGTTGGTATCATTGTCCAGTAGTCCTCAAATATGATACGGAATTTGATTCCTTCCTGCCTCCGCACTGACTTCGTAAGCCTGCAATGGCTATAGTAACTCTCCGGATACGAGTCATGTTTTTACCAGTATAAGCATGATCAGTCAGGACACTTCTGAGATAGGTAAATTCTTGGTCAGACCAGCAGATCTTCTATTCCTGTTATAGAAACCTTTTGCTTAACCTTTTTTCCAGTAGCTGACCAGTACATCCTTCAGACTGAGTTATGTGGAAGTTTGTTATATCCAGAAGTAGAAATGATGATACATGAAACCTCAGTAGAGAAATCGGATTGTATCTAGCATAGCTGTTCAAAGCCCAAGGTACAGCTTCTCTCACTTTGTGCTGCTTTAAAAAGAGAAGCAGTTTTGTAGGTGGAGAGATCACCTCTTCTAAAAGGAAGTTTCTAAGCTGCTACTTTCCACACTTTCAGAAACACAGTGGAACTGGTACTCTTACTCCATCTGACTACTTTCTGGCAGAAACGTGCCCCAGCAGACAGTGCTATCTTTAGGGATGAAAAGAAACCTTTGATGAAATGTTGGGCTTCCTTTTCTGTAATCCATGAAGACTCTCTGACATGGGAGGGACTAAAGGAAAATTCTGTGTTGTGTGAATTTTCATTCTAGGAGCCTCTATATCAATCTGAACCTCTGCGGAGAATTGTATTGTGTCCAAGGTACTTTTATAACTATCATTTTGATTGCTAAGTAGTTCAAAAGAGACAAAGGTGTACCAGAATATGCCTAAATTTAATGTGGGGGCTCTTCTTTAAGGAAGTTTATATTGAAAAGCCCTATGCAACTTGTTTATGGTTAGAATTTTTCAGCTTTGGAAGCTGAAAAGCTCTTCCCAAGATCATCTGTAAGGCCAGGCTCAGAGCAAAGAGCTAAGGTGCCCCCAGCTGTCAGGGTAATGGGGCATGCCCCCTGTGACAGCTGCCTGACATGGAGGGCTCTAAAATGAAAAGACAGAAATGAGACAGTTTTTCCTTTCATATTCTCTGTAGGATAATCTATGCTGATATGTGCCTCTGTACACCGAGGAGATTTTAGTGCTTTAATTACAGCGCTGTAATTAAGGAGGCAGAACTCTACCTTGCTAGCAACCCTGTGATTTGCTGAAGCAGCATCTATGTGCTTAATATCGCTAGTCAGAGGCAGTTCTCTGACAGCCTGTAATTTATATATGAAACATTTTATTTCCATACTTTGAAGACCATCCAGAATCTAAGGCAGGGGGAGTTTTTTTGTTTCTTTTTTTTAAGTTTTCCTATTGTTCCATTCATGGATTTGAATTAGAAGTCAAGATGTGACTTGTGTTCCCCAGGGCTCAGTACTGGGGCCGGTCTTGTTTAATATCTTTCTCGATGATCTGGATGAGGGGATCGAGTGCACCCTCAGCAAGTTTGCAGACGACACCAAGTTGGGAGGGAGTGTTGATCTGCTCGAGGGTAGGAAGGCTCTGCAGAGGGACCTGGACAGGCTGGATCGATGGGCCCAGACCAATTGTATGAGGTTCAACAAGGCCAAGTGCCAGGTCCTGCACTTCGGCCACAACAACCCCATGCAGCGCTACAGGCTTGGGGAAGAGTGGCTGGAAAGCTGCCCAGCAGAGAAGGACCTGGGGGTGTTGGTCGACAGCCGGCTGAACATGAGCCGGCAGCGTGCCCAGGCGGCCAAGAAGGCCAAGGGCATCCTGGCCTGTATCAGAAATAGTGTGACCAGCAGGAG